AATAATTGGAAGGCTATGCATAATTGTGGTGATAGAAACATATAGCAACATGATTTTACGAGGATACTAGCTCAACAATTATTGTTTTTGTCAGGCCAAGCGATTGAGCTGATGCATTTTTTGGCACATCAAGGCTGTCCTTTCAATGTGTAAAGGTGCACCATTACCATCACCATTAGGTTAATCTAGGTTGTTAACAGGTGTGCTAGTCCATCATTGTTCATATTGGGTCTTTGTTTACATTTTATTTCACACTGGAAGCAAACAAGGTTAGCAAAAAAAAGTGATATTCAACACAACAACAGTACATGAGGTCATCAGGCCGAGAGAGAAGGGAGGAAAGTGCAATCACAAGGCTGTGACTGGGACACACAAGGCTCATAGTACATTGAATTTGGTGGGGAAACATCCGACTGGGAGGTGTGATCATTGTCAGGAGAAGATGGAGACATTGGAACACTTTCTATTTCAGTGCCAGAAATATGAGGGAAAGGGAGCTATTGTTATTAGATTTGTGGAGTAATGGGGTTGAAGAGCCAGGATTAAGTGAACTGCTGGGGAAATCATCATGGTGTGTAGTATTTAATTATGTATTTCGTTTCCTTATGGAGACGAGAATATTGTTTATGATTTGGACCTTCCCTGTCTCTGGTCCATACTCCAGTCCAGTTGGTGGCGGTAATGCACCTTAAAGTTGGTTGCCAAATGCCATAAAAAAATCACCAGAAGAAGAAGGAGAACACGACTGCCGCTTTACTAAACTACCAAGTTAGTTAGTTGTTACAAACATGGACAACTCTGGAAAAGAGAAGGAAGCCTCGGCTTTGATGGCTGAGGCTGAAAAGAAACTGAAATCATCTCAGTCGTTTTTTGGGGCGTTGTTTGGGTGAGCATTCCAGCTAGCTAGCCTCGGTAGTTTAGCTAGCAATCGCAAATGGTACAGTGAGTAACGTTAGGTACTGTTTGCTAATTATCTAACTGTTAGCTACTAGTTACCAACTACCCTTTTAACGTTAATTGTTGAAGAAAAAAAAGTAATATAGTGTTGGTCTACCAACGTTAGTGCAATTTCCTCATCCAGCTAACAGCAGTTAGCTTAGTTAGCCAACAACAATCAAGTCAACAAAGTATCTTAGATAGCTAACTTTAGCCTGTTGTACAAAAAAAATACCCCAAAAGTTATTTGACGTGGATGAAGTTTTATTTCTATATTGGTTGGTAACGCATGAGAGTAAAGTAAAGCAAACGTATTTCTTGTGTTTCTGTCCATGACTCCTTGGTTACTCGCTTTCTGCCAGCAGTACAAACGATGACGTCACTTTATGGCGATGTCGAAACCAAAGTCTGCGTTGCAAAACATTGCAATGTGGAAAACTCATTCAAAACATATTGGAATCAATAGCCACTTTCTAAAAAATATTGTGCCAAAAATAAAATCCAGTAAGTAATTTATGAAAACAAATAGAAAATATGCTTTCAAAAATGTTTAAGCCAGTAATGGAAAAAAGACTATGTTGACATTGGTATGTTGAGAATATTGGACTGTAGAGAACTTTTCTACCTGTCTCAGCTAAAGTGGGTGGGAAATACTCAGTAGGGTCTCTACTAACCAAATATGGTTAGTTTTGGAGGGGGACTGTCACCCAGCAGCACTATAGCCCCCAATGCAATACATTGTAATAGACTGTACATGGGATAACCCTCATATTGGCTTGTAGAGAGAACGTTTTTCTACCTGTCTCAGCTTAAGTGGGGTGGGAAATACTCAGTAGGGTCTCTACTAACATAGTATGGTTTCGTTTTCGAGGGGGACTGTGTTATAGGCATGCATTTAGTCCTGCATGTTATATACAGGACCAGTCAAAAGTTTGGACACACCTACTCATTCAAGGGTTTTTCTTTATTTTTACTATTTTCTACATTGTAGAATAATAGTGAAGACAAACTATAAAATAACACATATGGAATCATGTAGTAACAAAAAAAGGGTTAAACAAATTTCAAATAGCCACCCTTTGCCTTGATGACAGCTTTTCACACAAGTGTTGGCATTCTCTCAACCAGCTTCATGAGGTAGTCACCTGGAATGCATTTCAATTAACAGGTGTGCTTGTTAAAAGTTAATTTGTGGAATTTCTTTCCTTAATACATTTGAGCCAATCAGTTGTGTTGTGAAGAATCTCAAATCTCAAATATATTTTGATTTGTTTAACACTTTTTTGGTTACTACTTGATTCCATATGTGTTATTTCATAGTTTTGATGTCTTCACTATTATTCTACAATGTAGAAAACAGTAAAAAAAGAAAAAAAAAAACCTTGAATGAGTAGGTGTGTACAAACTTTTGACTGGTACTGTATATTAATTCCAAAACAATAAATTAATATACTGTTGTAGTGTTGAATATCAGTTTTAAAGACAAAACAGGAAGTCCAGGATCCAGTTGCAGAGGGAGGTGTTTAGTCCCAGGGTCCTTAGCTTAGTGATTAGCTTTGAGGGCACTATGGTGTTGAACGCTGAGCTGTAGTCAATGAATAGCATTCTCACGTAGGTGTTGCTCTTGTCCAGGTGGGAAAGGGCAGTTTGGCGTGCAATAGAGATTGCGTTGTAAGTCGCTCTGAATAAGAGCGTCTGCTAAATAATGTAAATGTAAATGTGAATGTCATCTGTGGATCTGTTGGGGCGGTATGCAAATTGGAGTGGGTCTAGGGTTTCTGGGATAATGTTGTTGATGTGAGCCATGACCAGCCTTTCAAAGCCCTTCATGGCTACAGACATGAGTGCTATGGGTCGGTAGTTATTTAGGCAGGTTACCTTAGTGTTCTTGGGCACAGGGACTATGGTGGTCTGCTTGAAACATGTTGGTATTACAGACTCAGTCAGGGACATGTTGAAAATGTCAGTGAAGACACTTGCCAGTTGGTCAGCGCATGCTCGGAGTTCACGTCCTGGTAATCCGTCTGGCCCTGCGGCCTTGTGAATGTTGACCTGCTTAAAAGTCTTAATCACATTGGCTACGGAAAGCGTGATCACAGATCACAGGAAGAATCCCGGAACATATTCCAGTCTGTGCTAGCAAAACAGTACTGTAGCTTAGCATCTGCATTATCTGACCACTTCCTTATTAACCGAGTCACTGGTGCTTCCTGCTTTAGTTTTTGCTTATAAGCAGGAATCAGGAAGATAGAGTTATGGTCAGATTTGCCACATTTAACATGCTGGTAGAAATGTTACATGCTGGTAGAAGATTTCTAAAACATGTAATACTGCTAACAACTTTCAGTTGTCAAGCTTGAATGTCATCCATGCTCCAAAGATATTACTTGTGAAGGTAGACAAGCCAGCAGAGAGCTGTTTTACCTAAGAGCTTGAATCTATCCTGCATATGTAACATTCACGTCTTAGAATTCTCTATTATAGCATTTACCGTACACACTACATGACAAGCTCTGGTATATCGACTGCGCTCAAGTATCAAAATCAAGTGTGGGCTTTACCTTTTTTAGACAAAGTCCAATAACTCCTGAGACAGGCTGTGTTCTATCCTGTAGCTCAGTTGGTAGAGCATGGCGCCTGCAACGCCGGAGTTGTGGGTTCGATTCCCGCGGGGGGGGGGCCAGTATGAAAAATGTATGCACTCACTAAACTGTAAGTCACTCTGGATAAGAGCGTCTGCTAAATGACTAAAATGTAAAATATACCAGAAGAAACAGTGGAAAAGTACTACGTTTTCTTCAGAAAGACAAAAGGAATATGTGCTCTGACAAATGCGCAAGTAATGACTCATCTGGGTCTAAACGTGTAATTCCGAAGACAACCAAAACTTCCATCTCCACTTACTAAAGAGGATTATAACATATGAATGATCTTTTGAAGTCACAATGTGTTAATGTCCCCCTGTGTCTTTTGAGAGTCAGGAATTACATAGTCTGTTTTGTGACAGCAAAGAGGTTATGCCAATTGTGCCTGGAATGAAACGTTCTCTCTCTACAAGCCAATATAATGGCTGTCCCATGTACAGTGTATTGCATTGTGGGTGATGGAGGGGGCGGCGTGAAAAGCCAGCAGCAGGCCGTACGACACAGTCCCTCTCCAAAATGATCCATATTTGGTTAGTAGAGACCCTACTGAGTATTTCCCACTTTAGCTGAGACAGGTAGAAAAACGTTCTCTCTACAAGCCAATATGATGGTTATCCCATGTACAGTCTATTACAGTGTATTGCATTGGGGGCTATGGGGGGGGGGGGGGGGTGGAGAACAAAGTGCTGCTGGGTGACAGTCCCCCTCCAAAACTAACCATATTTGGTTAGTAGAGACCCTACTGAGTATTTCCCACCTGAGGCAGGTAGGAAAGTTCTCTCTACAAGCCAATAAGTATCCCATATACCTTGTATTGCATTGCAGTGGGTGGAGTAAGGAGTCACCAGTACTTTGTATTAAACCGGTTGCTCAGCACAAGAGACCCATTGAAGTTTAGCAGACTCTATTGAGTAATTTATTAAAAGTATATTTCTTTAAATATAAGCCTAAACAATTAGCTTTCAACATACCAGTATTTGTGTGAACTTTTTCAAAATAATTGCTTGTATGAATAATACAATATTCAAAATAAAATATGTGAAATGATCCCTATTTTTCTGGTGTTACATTCTGTTCCCCATCAGATCCGGTTCCCCCTTCCACTACTGAAGTCCGTTGTCTTCACACTTTTTATTGTAAACATCAATGATTGCTAACTGATAATGTTCCTCGATGAAATTACTGCCATGGTTTGTTTAGTTTAATAGGCCTAATTAATGATAATAACGGTTGTCTCATCTCATACACACATTTTGAACTGCTATTCTAACGGTCGTTTTTGCCAATACAGTCAGTGATATACGACAGTATTGAAACAGAGCCTCTACTGTATAACTCTTACTATTAATGTGTTACTAGTGCTGATAGCACCTGGGCTCACTGCTACTCTAATTCTGTTGACGCAGAGGCTCGTCCAAGATGGAAGAGGCCTGTGATCTGTACGCCAGGGCTGCCAACATGTACAAGATGGCAAAGAACTGGTGTGGTGAGAACACTGTTTTTTTTGTTTGTTGTTGTAGCCATATCAAATGTTATTTGTCACGTGTATGTGTTTTAGCAGATGTTATCGCGGGTGTAGCGAAATGCTTAGAACCTGTTTGGTGAGAACGCTTTCGTAGCCATATAGAACTGGTTTGGTGAGAACACTGATTTGTAGCCATATAGAACTGGTTTGGTGAGAACACTGATTTGTAGCCATATAGATACGGTAAAGAGGTCAATGGAACTCGACCAAAACAATGGGAATGTCAATGACACGGCTGGGGGAGATATGCCATGTTGGGAAGATCTTGAGTCTCCTCATTGCCCCCCAGCAAAATGAGCCTACATTTTAGGCTATTGTTTCGATGTGTATTTCACACTATGTTAAGGTAAAAATTCGGAGTAATAATGCTTGTATGGATGTCAACCCCAATACATGTTCATGTCATCGTCACCAATCAACTGCATTACAGTTTAAAAAAACGACTTTGACGACCACCACCAATTTATTTATGCTAGCTATGCTACCAGCTTATACGAATGGGAGTTAGCATTTAGCAGTCACTTCTTCTAAACCTGAAAGGGAACTACTTCTAGGGCTGCACGATCAAATTCAGATCGAAATTGCGATATTTACATGTACAATATCAATATCGCAATAGGTTGCAATTTTCTCCGTTCTTTGACACTCTGTTAACACAACAAAAACTAGACTACGGTACCTCCCCCAATGAGACGCGCTAGACTACGGTACCTCCCCCAATGAGACGCGCTAGACTACGGTACCTCCCCCAATGAGATGCGCTAGACTACGGTACCTCCCCCAATGAGATGCGCTAGACTACGGTACCTCCCCCAATGAGATGCGCTAGACTACGGTACCTCCCCCAATGAGATGCGCTAGACTACGGTACCTCCCCCAATGAGATGCGCTAGACTACGGTACCTCCCCCAATGAGCATGCCGCTAGGACCTAATACGGTACCTCCCCCAATGAGATGCGTAGACTAGGTACCTCCCCCCAATGAGATGCCCGCTAGACTACTGGTACCTCCCCCAATGCGATGCGCTAGACTAACGGTACCTCCCCATGAGATGCGCTCGACCTACGGTACCTCCCCAATGAGCTACGCTAGGACTACGGGTACCTCCCCCAATGAGATGCGCTAGACTACGGTACCTCCCCCAATGAGATGCGCCTAGACTCTGGTTACCTCCCCTCCAATTGAGATGCGCTAGACTACGGTACCTCCCCCAATGAGATGCGCTAGACTTCGTTCATTCACTCTCTACATGCACAGAGGATGCTGACCAATCACAAGCAGGCTTTTTCACTCTGCATGCTGGCCAATCACAAGCGTCCTCGCTTAGAGCGCGCCGTTAGATGCTGGCGAGGAGAGAAAGGGCTTCACCTCGCCGTAGCTCCATCATAGGCAGAATGTGTCGGAAACATGAGTGCTGCTAGTGCTAACGAGAACGTTGATTTGGTGACAAAGAAGGATCTTCAGTAGTATGGCAGTATTTCAGCACATCTTCAGTAGTATGGCAGTATTTCAGCACATCTTCAGTAGTATGGCAGTATTTCAACACATCTTCAGTAGTATGGCAGTATTTCAACACATCTTCAGTAGTATGGCAGTATTTCAACACATCTTCGGTAGAAGATATATCTACCTATAGTCTCTATATATCTATATATCTACCTATAGTCTCTATATATCTATATATATACCTATAGTCTCTATATATATACCTATAGTCTCTATATATCTACCTATAGTCTCTATATATCTACCTATAGTCTCTATATATCTACCTATAGTCTCTATATATCTACCTATAGTCTCTATATATCTACCTATAGTCTCTATATATCTACCTATAGTCTCTATATATCTACCTATAGTCTCTATATATCTATATATCTATAGTCTCTATATATCTATATATCTATAGTCTCTATATATCTACCTATAGTCTCTATATATCTATATATCTACCTATAGTCTCTATATATCTACCTATAGTCTCTATATATCTACCTATAGTCTCTATATATCTACCTATAGTCTCTATATATCTACCTATAGTCTCTATATATCTACCTATAGTCTCTATTTATCTACCTATAGTCTCTATTTATCTACCTATAGTCTCTATATATCTATATATCTATAGTCTCTATATATCTATATATCTATAGTCTCTATATATCTATATATCTACCTATAGTCTCTATATATCTACCTATAGTCTCTATATATCTACCTATAGTCTCTATATATCTACCTATAGTCTCTATTTATCTACCTATAGTCTCTATTTATCTACCTATAGTCTCGATATATATACATATAGTCTCTATATATCTATATATCTACCTATAGTCTCTATATATCCACCTATAGTCTCTATATATCTACCTATAGTCTCTATATATCTATATATCTACCTATAGTCTCTATATATCTACCTATAGTCTCTATATATATATACCTATAGTCTCTATATATATATACCTATAGTCTCTATATATCTACCTATAGTCTCTATATATCTACCTATAGTCTCTATATATCTACCTATAGTCTCTATATATCTATATATCTACCTATAGTCTCTATATATATACCTATAGTCTCTATATATCTACCTATAGTCTCTATATATATACCTATAGTCTCTATATATATACCTATAGTCTCTATATATCTACCTATAGTCTCTATATATCTACCTATAGTCTCTATATATCTACCTATAGTCTCTATATATATACCTATAGTCTCTATATATCTACCTATAGTCTCTATATATATACCTATAGTCTCTATATATATACCTATAGTCTCTATATATCTACCTATAGTCTCATACTATATATAACCTATAGTCTCTATATATATACCTATAGTCTCTATATATCATAGTATATCTACCTATAGTCTCTTATATATCTACCTATAGTCTCTATATATCTACCTATAGTCTCTATATATCTACCTATAGTCTCTATATATCTATATATCTACCTATAGTCTCTATATATCTACCTATAGTCTCTATATATCTACCTATAGTCTCTATATATCTATATATCTACCTATAGTCTCTATATATCTACCTATAGTCTCATATATACTGTCTAACCTATAGTCTCTATTATCTATATATCTACCTATAGTCTCTATATATCTACCTATAGTCTCTATATATCTACCTATAGTTCTCTATATATCTACCTATAGTCTCTATATAATTACTACCTATAGTCTCTATATATCTACCTATAGTCTCTATATATCTTTCTATAGTCCTACTATATATCTACTATAGTCTCTATATATACTACCTATAGTCTCTATATATCTACTATAGTCTCTATATATCTATATATCTACCTATAGTCTCTATATATCTACCTATAGTCTCTATATTATCTATACCTTAGTCTCTATATATACCTATAGTCTCTATATATCTCTATATCTCTATATCTATATATCCTATAGTCTCTATATATCTACCTATAGTCTCTATTATTATACTATAGTCTCTATATATCTATCTCTACTATATTCTATATATCTACCTATAGTCTCTATATATCTACCTATAGTCTCTATATATCTACCTATAGTCTCTATATACTATACCTATAGTCTCTATATATATATCTACCTATAGTCTCTATATATCTACCTATAGTCTTATATATCTATATATCTACCTATAGTCTCTATATATCTACCTATGTCTTATATACCTATAGTCTTATATATACCTATAGTCTCTATATCTCTATATCATATATCATACCTATAGTCTATATATTACTATAGTCTCTATATATACCTATAGTCTCTATATATCTACCTATAGTCTCTATATATCTACCTATAGTCATCTATATCACCTATAGTCTCTATATATCTACTATACCTATACATATGTCTCTATATAGTCTCTATATATCTACCTATAGTCTCTATATATCTACCTATAGTCTCTATATATCTACCTATAGTCTCTATATATCTACTATATCTCTATATATACTATAGTCTCTATATATATATTACCTATAGTCTCTATATTATAATCCTACTATAGTCTCTATATATCTACTATAGTCTCTATATATCTATATATCTAACCTATAGTCTCTATATATCTACCTATAGTCTCTATATATCTATATATCTACCTATAGTCTCTATATACTACCATAGTCTCTATATATTACTATAGTCTCTATACTCTATATATCTACTATAGTCCTATATATACCTATAGTCTCTTATATCTACCTATAGTCTCTATATCATTATCTACCATAGTCTCTATATATCTACTATATCTCTATATATCTACCTATAGTCTCTATATATCTACCTATAGTCTCTATATATTTATATAATCTACCTATAGTCTCTATATATACCTATAGTCCTATACTTATATATCTACCTATAGTCTTATTATATATAATCTACCTATAGTCTCTATATATCTACCTATAGTCTCTATATATCTTACCTATATCTACTATACTATAGTCTCTATATATCTACCTATAGTCTCTATATATCTACCTATAGTTCCTTACTATATATACCATAGTCCTTATATATCTACCTATAGTCTATATATACTATTATCTACTATAGTCTCTATATATATACCTATAGTCTTATATATATATATCTACCTATAGTCTCTATATATCTACTATAGTCTCTATTAGTATACTATATATACACTATAGTCTCTATATATTATTCTACCTATAGTTCTTATATCTATTATTAATTATAATTACCTATAGTCTCTTATATATTATTACTTACTATATATCTACTATATATCGTATACCTATAGTCTTATATATCTACCTATAGTCTCTATATATCTACCTATAGTCTCTATATATATCTATATATCTACCTATAGTCTCTATATATCTACCTATAGTCTCTATATATCTACCTATAGTCTCTCTCTATATATCTACCTATAGTCTCTATATATCTACCAGAGGACCACCTGGTTAAACAGATCTTTGGTCTGGTGGAACAGAATGTGTTCATTCATATGATCTCATTTTAGAAGTGATGTTCCCTATCCGGACACTTGTATTTAACCATGTCTGATGGAATTACCAAGTTATTCACCAAAGTGTTTGAAAATTGCAATTTATAATCGTAATATCTGGCCAAAACATCGCTACTAAATATTTTGTCAATCGTGCAGCCCTAACTACTTCTAAATGTTATACAGCGAAAAACAGCCAAATAATATCAAAATCTGACTTTAATAACCACATTGTTGGCCTGTTACATAACATCAATCATGACGGATATGACGAATATTCACTTAGTTAGATCAGATTTCTTGACTGTGCGCCAATCCAGCATCCTCCTCCTGTCCCCCATAGATGTGTCTGTGTTGTGATAGTGGATATGTCTGTTGTGATAGTGGATATGTCTGTGTTGTGATAGTGGATATGTCTGTGTTGTGATAGTGGATATGTCTGTGTTGTGATAGTGGATATGTCTGTGTTGTGATAGTGGATATGTCTGTGTTGTGATAGTGGATATGTCTGTGTTGTGATAGTGGATATGTCTGTGTTGTGATAGTGGATATGTCTGTGTTGTGATAGTGGATATGTCTGTGTTGTGATAGTGGATATGTCTGTGTTGTGATAGTGGATATGTCTGTGTTGTGATAGAAATTCACGTAACAACTGTATCCACTATCTCAATGTTTCAAAAATGAACTTATTACTCAGTCTGTATCCCAGAGGTTGGAAATCTCTAATAATCAGACCAAGTAGCCCAGCATACAATCATCAGGCTTTAGTCATTGAGAACGTTCTGAAACAAAATGGCCGTACAATCTTTTTATATGCACACGTCAGAGAGAAAAAATAAATAATCCCTCCCCTTCTTTAGGTGGGCTGTAGTTTTACACTGGAAAACTGCTCTCCTGACCATCATGTCACACACACACACACACACACACACACACACACGCCTAACAGTTTCTCTCCTCCCTAAATTCCTCAGTTACCTTGGTTTCTCAGTTGCCTGTAGACAGTTATCCAATTTCAATCAATTTTATTTTATATAGCCCTTCTTACATCAGCTAATATCTCGAAGTGCTGTACAGAAACCCAGCCTAAAACCCCAAACAGCTAGTAATGCAGGTGTAGAAGCACGGTGGCTAGGAAAAACTCCCTAGAAAGGCAAAACCTAGGAAGAAACCTAGAGAGGAACCAGGCTATGAGGGGTGGCCAGTCCTCTTCTGGCTGTGCCGGGTGGAGATTATAACAGAACCATGCCAAGATGTTCAAAAATGTTCATAAGTGACAAGCATGGTCAAATAATAATCAGGAATAAATCTCAGTTGGCTTTTCATAGCCGATCATTAGAGTTTAAAACAGCAGGTCTGGGACAGGTAGGGGTTCCATAACCGCAGGCAGAACAGTTTAAACTGGAATAGCAGCAAGGCCAGGCGGACTGGGGACAGCAAGGAGTCACCACGGCCGGTAGTCCCGACGTATGGTCCTAGGGCTCAGGTCTCTCAGTTGGCTTTTCATAGCCGATCATTAAAGAGTTGAAAACAGCAGGTCTGGGACAGGTAGGGGTTTCGTAGCCGCAGGCAGAACAGTTGAAACTGGAATAGCAGCAAGGCCAGGCGGACTGGGGACAGCAAGGTGTCATCATGCCCGGTAGTCCTGACGTATGGTCCTAGGGCTCAGGTTCTCAGAGAGAAAGAGAGAACGAGAGAATTAGAGAGAGCATACTTAAATTCACACAGGACACTGGATAAGACAGGAGAAGTACTCCAGGTATAACCAACTAACCCCAGCCCCCCGACACATAAACTACTGCAGCATAAATACTGGAGGCTATCCTTGTCCTTTGTTGTCTGGCCTAACTCTTACTCACATTGCTAAATAGTAACACAATGTCATATTCTTTACTGGTCCTACACTCACACATTCTAACAAATTTCACACAGTTTCAGGGTGTAATAATTAGTCATTAATAATTAATCTATCAACAGTGCATTCAGAAAGTATTCAGACTCCTTGACTTTTTGTTACGTGTTGTTACGTTAGTCTTATTCTAAAATTGATTAAATTGTTTTTTCCCTCATCAATCTACACGCAAAACCCCATAATGACAAAGCAAAAACAGGTTTTTAGACATTTTTGCTAATGTATTAAAAAGAAAAGACTATCGCATTTACATAAGTATTCAGACCCTTTACTCAGTATGTTGTTGAAGCACCTTTGGCAGCGATTACAGCCTCTAGTCTTCTTGGGTATGACGCTACAAGCTTGGCACACCTGTATCTGGGGAGTTTCTCCCATTCTTCTCTGCAGATCTTCTCAAGTTCTGTCAGGTTGGATGGGGAGTGTCGCTGCACAGCTATTTTCAGGTCTCCAGAGATTGGAAGGTGAACCTTCGCCCCAGTCTGAGGTCCTGAGCGCTTTGGAGCAGGTTTCCATCAAGGATCTCTGTACTTTGCTCTGTTCATCTTTCCCTTGATCCTGACCAGTCTCCCAGTCCCTGCCGCTGAAAAACATCCCCACAGCATGATACTGTCACCACCATGCTTCACCGTAGGGATGGTGCCAGGTTTCTTCCAGATGTGACACTTGGCATTCAGGCCAAATAGTTAAATCTTGGTTTCATCAGACCAGAGAATCTTGTTTCTCATGGTCTGAGAGTCTTTAGGTGCCTTTTGGCAAACTCCAAGCGGGCTGTCATGTGCCTTTTACTGAGGAGTGGCTTCCGTCTGGCCACTCTACCATAAAGGCCTGATTGGTGGAGTGCTGCAGAGATGGTTGTCCTTCTGGAAGGTTCTCCCATCTCCACAGATGAACTCTGGAGCTCTGTCAGAGTGACCATTGGGTTCTTGGGCACCTCCCTGACCAAGGCCCTTCTCCCCCATTGCTCAGTTTGGCCGGGTGGCCAGCTCTAAGAAGAGTCTTGGTGGTTCCAAACTTCTTCCATTTAAGAATGATGGAGGCCACTGTGTTCTTCAATGCAGCATGAATTTTTGGGTACCCTTCCCCAGATCTGTGTGTCTCTGAGCTCTACGGACAATTCCTTCGACCTCATGGCTTGGTTTTTGCTCTGACATGCACTGTCAACTGTGGGACATTATATAGACCGGTGTGTGTCTTTCCAAATCATGTCCAATCAATTGAATTCACCACAGGCAGACTCCAGTCAAGTTGTAGAAACTTCTCAAGGATGATCTATGTAAACAGGATGCACCTGAGCTCAATTTAGTCTCATAGCAAAGGGTCTGAATACTTATGTAAATAAGGTATTTCTGTTATTTTTAATACATTTGTAAAATTTCTAAAAACCTGTTTTCACTTTGTCATTATGGGGTATTGTGCATAGATTAGGATTTTTATTTATTTAATCAATTTTAGAATAAGGCTGTAACATAACAAAATGTGGAAAAAGTCAAGGGGTCTGAATACTTTTCGAATGCACTGTATGTCTGTCTTGTGATAGTGGTTGAATGTTTTGTGATAGTTGGATATATAGTTGAAGTCGGAAGTTTACATACACCTTAGCCAAATACATTTAAACTCAGTTTTTCACAATTCCTGACATTTAATCCTAGTAAACATTCCCTGTCTTAGGTCAATTAGGAGCACCACTTTATTTTAAGAATGTGAAATGTCAGAATAATAGTAGAGATTTATTTCAGCTTTTATTTCTTTCATCACATTCCCAGTGGGTCAGAAGTTTACATACACTCAATTAGTATTTGGTAGCATTGCCTTTAAATTGTTTAACTTGGGTCAAATGTTTCGGGTAGGCTTCCACAAGCTTCCCACAATAAGTTGGGTGAATTTTGGCCCATTCCTCCTGACAGAGCTGGTGTAACTGAATCAGGTTTGTAGGCTCCTTGCTCGCACATGCCTTTTCAGTTCTGCCCACAAATGTTCTATAGGATTGAGGTCAGGGCTTTGTGATGGCCACTCCAATACCTTGACTTTGTTGTCCTTAAGCCATTTTGCCACAACTTTGGAAGTATGCTTGGGGTCATTGTCCATTTGGAAGACCCATTTGCGACCAAGCTTTAACTTCCTGACTGATGTCTTGAGATGTTGCTTCAATATATCCACATCATTTCCCTTCCTCATGATGCCATCTATTTTGTGAAGTGCACCAGTTCCCTCCTGCAGCAAAGCACCCCCACAGCATGATGCTGCCACCCCCGTGCTTCACGAATGGGGTGGTGTTCTTCGGCTTGCAAGCAACCCCCTTTTCCTCCAAACATAACGATGGTCATTATAGCCAAACAGTTCTATTGTTGTTTCATCAGACCAGTGGACATTTCTCCAAAAAGTACAATCTTTGTCCCCATGTGCAGTTGCAGACCGTAGTCTGGCTTTTTTATGGCAGTTTTGGAGCAGTGGCTTCTTCCTTGCTGAGCGGCCTTTCAGATTATGTCGATATAGGACTCGTTTTATTGTGGATATAGATACTTTTGTACCCGTTTCCTCCAGCATCTTCAGAAGGTACTTTGCTGTTGTTCTGGGATTGATTTGCACTTTTCGCACAAAAGTACGTTCATCTCTAGGAGACAGAACGCGTCTCCTTCCTGAGCGGTATGACGGCTACGTGGTCCCATGGTGTTTATACTTGCGTACTATTGTTTGTACAGATGAACGTGGTACCTTCAGGCGTTTGGAAATTGCTCCCAAGGATGAACCAGACTTGTGGAGGTCTACAGTCTTGGCTGATTTCTTTTGATTTTCCCATGATGTCAAGCAAAGAGGCACTGAGTTTGAAGATAGGCCTTGAAATACATCCACAGGTACACCTCCAATTGACTCAAATGATATCAATTAGCCTATCAGAAGCTTCTAAAGCCATGACATTTTCTGGAATTTTCCAAGCTGTTTAAAGGCACAGTCAACTTAGTGTATGTAAACTTCTGACCCACTGGAATTGTGATACAGTGAAATAATCTGTCTGTAAATAATTGTTGGAAAAATTACTTGTCGTGCACAAAGTAGATGTCCTAACCGACTTGCCAAAACTATAGTTTGTTAACAAGACATTTGTGAAAAACAAGTTTTAATGACTCCAACCTAAGTGTATGTAAACTTCCGACTTCAACTGTATGTCTGTATGGTGATGGTGGATAATGTCTATATGGTGATAGTGGATAATGTCTGTGTTTCAGCTGCAGGTAATGCGTTCTCCCAGGCGGCCCGGCTCCACCTCCAGCTCCAGAGTAAACACGACGCTGCCACTAACTTCATCGATGCTGGAAACGCCTTCAAAAAAGCTGACCCACAAGGTATTCTCTCTCTGTACCTCACCATGGACTTTACAACCATTGCAGCTCAGGTTCCACCTCATTTTGTGGGCAGTGTGCACATAGCCTGTCTTCTCTTGAGAGCCAGGTCTGCCTACGAAGGCCTTTCTCAATAGCAAGGCTATGCTCACTGAGTCTGTACATAGTCAAAGCTTTCCTTAAGTTTGGGTCAGTCACAGTGGTCAGGTATTCTGCCACTGTGTACTCTCTGTTTATGGCCAAATAGCATTCTAGTTTGCTCTGTTCTTTTGTTAATTATTTCCAATGTGTCAAGTAATTCTCTTTTTTGTTTTCTCATGATTTGGTTGGGTCTAATTGTGTGAATAGAAGGCTCTCTGATGTACCTCTCTCTCTCCTGCCCCCTACAACTGTAGACACTCAACTGTTCTTTCAGCGTTTGGTTAATGTTTCGCCAAAGAAATTAAACATGACCTTGGTATTTCCTGCAGATCAGAGTGAATAGAAAGTCTGAGTTTATAATGCATCTGATGTACACTTCTCCCCCCCCCTCCCCCTCCCACCTCCACAGAGGCTATCAACTGTCTGAACCGAGCCATTGAGATCTACACAGACATGGTGAGAAGTCTTCGTATGGATAGAGGCTGGATACCCACCTCTTTGACTGCACATAGTGGTTCAACACACCAAAACACTCCTGAGTGGCGCAGTGGTCTAAGGCACTGCATCGCAGTGCTAACTGTGCCACTAGAGATCCTGGTTCAAATCCAGGCTCTGTCGCAGCCGGCCGCGACCGGGAGACTCATGGGCGGCGCACAATTGGCCCAGCGTCTTCCAGGGTAGGGGAGGGAATGGCCGGCAGGGATGTAGCTCAGTTGATAGAGCATGGCGTTTGCAACGCCAGGGTTGTGGGTTCGATTCACATGGGGGGCCAGTATAAAAAAATAATATATATATATAGATATAATGTATTCAATAACTGTAAGTCGCTCTGGATAAGAGCGTCTGCTAAATGACTAAAAATGTAAAAATGTATTTCACCAGTAACATATAGAGCTGATATGAGCACAGTCTGTTCTGGTGTGCTGTTCTGGTGTTCTGGTGTTCTGTTCTGTTGTTCTGCTGTTCTGGTGTTCTGTTCTGGTGTTCTGTTGTTCTGGTGCTTCTCTCATCCTTCTTTCTGCTTCCTGCTTCCTGTGTGTTCCTCTTCTCTTGGACTCATTAGGGACGGTTCACCATTGCAGCCAAACATCACATCTCCATCGCAGAGATCTTTGAGACGGAGCTGGTGGACATTGATAAGGTCAGACCTATGGGCCCTGGTCAAAAGTAGTGCATTTTATAGGGAATGGAGAAGCATTTGAGACACAGCCTGTATCTGTCCACCAGCTAGCCTGGAATAGTCACTACTGTCCTGTATATCTCTGAGCTGAATAGTCACTACTGTCCTGTATATCTCTGAGCTGAATAGTCACTACTGTCCTGTATATCTCTGAGATGAATAGTCACTACTGTCCTGTATATCTCTGAGCTGAATAGTCACTACTGTCCTGTATATCTCTGAGATGAATAGTCACTACTGTCCTGTATATCTCTGAGCTGAATAGTCACTACTGTCCTGTATATCTCTGAGATGAATAGTCACTACTGTCCTGTATATCTCTGAGCTGAATAGTCACTACTGTCCTGTATATCTCTGAGATGAATAGTCACTACTGTCCTGTATATCTCTGAGATGAATAGTCACTACTGTCCTGTATATCTCTGAGCTGAATAGTCACTACTGTCCTGTATATCTCTGAGATGAATAGTCACTACTGTCCTGTATATCTCTGAGATGAATAGCTTGGGAGAATCAGCTCCCTATGAGGAAATATGCTAAATCATCTGTGGTTGTTGTGTCAGAGATGTAATGGCACATTTCACATCAAATTGTATTGATCACATACACGTGTTTAGCAGATGTTATTGCTGGTGTAGCGAAATGCTTGTGCTTCTAGCTCCGACAGTGCAGTAATATCTAACAAGTAATATCTGACAATTTCACAACATATACCCAATACACACACATCGAAGTAAGGAATGGAATTTAAGAATATATACATATATGGACAAGCAATGACAGAGCGGCATGGACTAAGATACAGTAGAATAGTATAGAATACAGTATATACATATGAGATATGTAATGCGAGATATGTAAACATTATTAAAGTGACTAGTGTTCCATTTCTTAAAGTGGCCAGTGATTTCAATAGGCAGCAGCAGCCTCTAATGTGCTAGTGAAGGCTATTTAACAGTCTGATCATTTGCATTCATAGCCAGGTCTTGTACCAGGGTGTAATTGTATGGGTCAGGTGCCTCTTTCTAGAGGTTTGTCTGATGGTGTACTTCAATCACTTTGTGACACCACCCCTTTTGATTTGAACGAAACCTTCCATGCATATTATTTGCCCATTTTTATAGAAGTGCAAAGAAAGTGACCTTTTGGACCTGAATGCCAACACTTTCAAGAGATAAAAGTGCTGAAAGTTTACCTATTTTGCATACCCCACCATACCATGAGACATGTCTACATCACTGGAAAAGAGAAACGGTTGAGTTTGATATAATTTAAAAGAGAAACGGTTGAGTTTGATATCATTTAAAAACTATTTTATGGGGCCTCCCGAGTGGCGCAGCGGTCTAAGGCACCTCATCGCGTCACTACAGACCCGGGTTCGATCCCAGGCTGTGTCGACCGGGAGACCCATGAGGCGGCGCACGATTGGCCCAGCGTCGTCCGAGGTTAGGGGAGGGTTTGGCCGGCCGGGATGTCCTTGTCCCATCGCGCTCTAGCGACTCCTTGTGGCGGCCGGGTGCATGCACGCTGACCTCGGTCGACAGCTGTATGGCGTTTCCTCCGACACGTTGGTGCGGCTGGCTTCCCGGTTAAACGAGCAGTGTGGCTCTCGTGGCTCTCGACCTTGGCTCTCGACCTCGTGGCTCTCGACCTTCGGCTCTCCCGAGTACGGGAGTTGCAGCGATGGGATATCACAAAAAAGGGGTACAAAAATAATAATCTTTAAAAAAAAATTATACAAACGGTCACTGATCTAAAAACGCGTAAATTCTAAAAATGAAATTACCGTATTTTCCGCACTATAAGACGCACCGGAGTATAAGCCGCAGTAGCTAAATTGAATGATGTGTACATATATAAGCCGCAGGTGTTTTAATGTTTAATTACCATATGTAAGGGTTCGTGCACAGAGGGGATTGTCGGGAAAGAGACAAACTGTCTCGCTCTCGTAATGTCTGTCTGTCTTGCTCTCGTTCTGTCTCTCGTACCACTCTCGGTTCCACTTTTACTTTTGCGCGCTACCTGTCTCACTCTTTTCCGGCCTCCAGCTTTTCCTGCTGGAGCCCGCCGCTTAAAGGTGGGGGGCGCGGACCGGTCATAGAGCCCATAGAGTTAAAGTTGGTGGACTGCAACCTGTAAAATCCATAGATTTAGGAGGTCTTCTAGTGGCTGTTAGCTGTAAAAATCCATAGATTAGCCGCACCGTTATATAAGCCGCAGGGTCGAAAAATGGGAAAAAAGGCGCGGCTTATAGTCCGAAAATTACGGTAGTTTATGTTGTAGTTTGTATTCAAGAGCATGTTGCGTCTCAACCAATGGCGGCACAACACAAAAAAAGTAGGGTCTAAGCTGCAACATAAAGGGACTTACGGACCAGTACATCACTGGGGCCAAGCTTCCTGCCATCCAGGACCTCTATACCAGGCGGTGTCAGAGGAAGGCCCTCAAAATTGTCAAAGACTCCAGCCACCCTAGTCAAAGACTGTTCTCTCTGCTACCGCACGGCAAGTGGTACCGGAGTGCCAAGTCTAGGTCCAAAAGACTTCTCAACAGCTTCTACCCCCAAGCCATAAGACTCCTGAACAGCTAATCATGGCTACCCGGACTATTTGCACTGCCCCCCCACCCCATCTTTTTACGCTGCTGCTACTCTGTTAATTATTTATGCATAGTCACTTTAACTCTACCCACATGTACATATTACTTCAACTACCTCAACTAGCCGGTGCCCCCGCACATTGACTCTGCACCGGTACCCCCCTGTATATATAGCCTCCCTACTGTTATTTAATTTTACTTCTGCTCTTTTTTTCTCAACACTTTTTTGTTTAATTTACTTTTTTTTATTAAAAATAAATGCACTGTTGGTTAAGGGCTGTAAGTAAGCATTTCACTCATGTCTGCACCTGTTGTATTCGGCGCATGTGGCCAATAACATTTGATTTGATTTTGATTTGAATATTATTTTTTGTTTTAAGTGTTTTTACATAATTGACGTTAGAGGTAAAAAAATTAAAAATTCTCACAAAATTAGAAAGTGGTTTGACAACCCTGTTTGTAAGCTTTTTAAATTATATTCAACTCAACCGTTTATCTTTTCCAGCGATGAAGACGTGTATGTCTCATGGTATGGTGGGGTATGCAAAATTAGTCAACTTTGAGCACCTTTTATCTCTTGAATGTTTTGTCATTCAGGTCCTAAAAGTCACTTTCTGATCACTGCTACAATGGGCAAACATGTATGGAAAGTTTTGTTTAAATCAAAAGGGATGCTGTCAAAAAGTGCTTGAATTCAAATTGATTATTTACACAGGGGTCAGGTGTATCTAAATGTTGTCTCTGTCTGCAGGCGATAGCTCACTATGAACAGGCACAGGGGTCAGGTGTATCTAAATGTTGTCTCTGTCTGCAGGCGATAGCTCACTATGAACAGGCACAGGGGTCAGGTGTCTAAATGTTGTCTCTGTCTGCAGGCGATAGCTCACTATGAACAGGCACAGGGGTCAGGTGTATCTAAATGTTGTCTCTGTCTGCAGGCGATAGCTCACTATGAACAGGCGGCAGACTACTACAAAGGAGAAGAGTCCACAAGGTAGGAACCGTGGACAATATATCCATTTTTGTTCTAAAAGGTATTTTTTTAAGGAGTAGGGCAGTCCTACTCCATTTTTTTTTTTTTTGCTTTATTGAAGAGCTGGACAGTGTTTGGGAGGGGGGGGTCAAAGGGCAGTGGTCCGGATTCCAACCCATGCCAACTCTGGCATACATGGGAGGGGGGGTCAAAGGGCAGTGGTCCGGATTCCAACCCATGCCAACTCTGGCATACATGGGAGGGGGGGTCAAAGGGCAGTGGTCCGGATTCCAACCCCATGCCAACTCTGGCATACATGGGAGGGGGGGTCAAAGGGCAGTGGTCCGGATTCCAACCCATGCCAACTCTGGCATACATGGGAGGGGGGGTCAAAGGGCAGTGGTCCGGATTCCAACCCATGCCAACTCTGGCATACATGGGAGGGGGGGTCAAAGGGCAGTGGGCCGGATTCCAACCCATGCCAACTCTGGCATACATGGGAGGGGGGTCAAAGGGCAGTGGTCCGGATTCCAACCCATGCCAACTCTGGCATACATGGGAGGGGGGGTCAAAGGGCAGTGGTCCGGATTCCAACCCATGCCAACTCTGGCATACATGGGAGGGGGGGTCAAAGGGCAGTGGGCCGGATTCCAACCCCATGCCAACTCTGGCATACATGGGAGGGGGGGTCAAAGGGCAGTGGTCCGGATTCCAACCCGTGCCAACTCTGGCATACATGGGAGGGGGGGTCAAAGGGCAGTGGTCCGGATTCCAACCCATGCCAACTCTGGCATACATGGGAGGGGGGGTCAAAGGGCAGTGGTCCGGATTCCAACCCATGCCAACTCTGGCATACATGGGAGGGGGGGTCAAAGGGCAGTGGTCCGGATTCCAACCCATGCCAACTCTGGCATACATGGGAGGGGGGGTCAAAGGGCAGTGGGCCGGATTCCAACCCATGCCAACTCTGGCATACATGGGAGGGGGGGTCAAAGGGCAGTGGTCCGGATTCCAACCCATGCCAACTCTGGCATACATGGGAGGGGGGGGTCAAAGGGCAGTGGTCCGGATTCCAACCCATGCCAACTCTGGCATACATGGGAGGGGGGGTCAAAGGGCAGTGGTCCGGATTCCAACCCATGCCAACTCTGGCATACATGGGAGGGGGGTCAAAGGGCAGTGGTCCGGATTCCAACCCATGCCAACTCTGGCATACATGGGAGGGGGGGTCAAAGGGCAGTGGTCCGGATTCCAACCCATGCCAACTCTGGCATACATGGGAGGGGGGGTCAAAGGGCAGTGGTCCGGATTCCAACCCATGCCAACTCTGGCATACATGTGCCGGGGTCAGCGGCTCTTACCACTGGACCACACATCAGCTCTATAGGGTTGTATATCTATGGTGGAAACTATGGAGAGATAGAAATGCAATGAATAGAGCCCACATGACTCCTTACTGTGAGCTGACATGATGCCTTACATATTCCCCTATGTTGTTCTGTCCTACTGAATCAGACCCCGTGTTTTAACTGGTTGTTCTGTCCTACTGAATGAGACCCTGTGTTTTAACTGGTTGTTCTGTCCTACTGAATGAGACCCTGTGTTTTAACTGGTTGTTCTGTCCTACTGAATGAGACCCGGAGTTATTTGACCGTGTTTTAACTGGTTGTCCTTGTGTCTCTCTCCCTTCCTCCTTGTCCTCTCAGCTCTGCTAACAAGTGCCTTCTGAAGGTAGCTACCTATGTAGCACAGCTGGAGCAGTACCAGAAAGCCATAGAGATCTATGAACAGGTGAGATCTGTCAATGTCGCAGGAGGCAGTTCTAGTAAATATATGTTTTTATGTCATTTATATTTACTGTTAACGATCCTGTTTTTGGTCTGTGTGTTTTTAAGGTTGGGACCAATGCGATGGACAGCACACTGCTGAAGTACAGTGCTAAAGACTACTTCTTCAAGGCAGCTCTCTGCCACTTCTGTGTGGACATGCTCAATGCCAAAGTTAGCCCCAAACCGACTTCTGTCTGTTTTCAAATCCTCCACAAGGCTTCTAGGCCTCTTCTCTAACTAACCTCCTTTATCTCCTGACATATAGCTGGCCTTGCAGAAGTATGAAGAAATGTTCCCTGCCTTCTCAGATTCTCGAGAATGTAAACTGGTAAAGGTAAGGGAATGGGTTGTTTCTCATATGGGCTCTATGTTTTTGTCTTCTCTTATCCAACCCCTCACCTTAACCAAGCTGATTCACTGCTTGTCTTTGCTCCAAGGCTTTGAACTCCAAAATATGTATTTTAATTACAATTCATTTCTATTTTTCTCTGCAGAAACTTTTAGATGCGTATGAAGAACAGAATGTTGATGTATATACTGATGCAGTGAGTGGAGCTCTCCTCAAAGTATTGTTTTGTATCTTTATTTGTGTGTATGTGGAAGTCAGTACTGAAGTCATTAATGCAAATGAAAAGATGGCAAACAATAACAACACTAATGAAAAGAGGAAGTAAGACAGGAAATAAAACTAGAACCGTCACTGAGGAAGTCTGACATGAACTAAAACTAGAACCGTCACTGAGGAAGTCCGACATGAACTAAAACTAGAACCGTCACTGAGGAAGTCTGACATGAACTAAAACTAGAACCGTCACTGAGGAAGTCCGACATGAACTAAAACTAGAACCGTCACTGAGGAAGTCCGACATGCACTAGAACTAGAACTGTCTCTGAGGAAGTCCGACATGAACCGTCACTGAGGAAGTTCTACATTAACTAAAACTAGAACATCACTGAGGAAGTCCGACATGCACTAGAACTAGAACTGTCTCTGAGGAAGTCCGACATGAACCGTCACTGAGGAAGTTCTACATTAACTAAAACTAGAACATCACTGAGGAAGTCCGACATGCCTAAAACTAGAACTGTCACTGAGGAAGTCCGACATGAACTAAAACTAGAACCGTCACTGAGGAAGTCCGACATGCACTAGAACTAGAACTGTCACTGAGGAAGTCCGACATGAACTAAAACTAGAACCGTCACTGAGGAAGTCCGACATGCACTAGAACTAGAACTGTCACTGAGGAAGTCCGACATGAACTAAAACTAGAAACCGTCACTGAGGAGTCCGACATGCACTAGAACTAGAACTGTCACTGAGGAAGTCCGACATGAACTAAACTAGAACCGTCACTGAGGAAGTCCGACATGCACTAGAACTAGAACTGTCACTGAGGAAGTCCGACATGAACTAAAACTAGAACGTCACTGAGGAAGTCCGACATGCACTAAACTAGAACTGTCTCTGAGGAAGTCCGACATGAACCGTCACTGAGGAATTCTACATTAACTAAAACTAGAACATCACTGAGGAAGTCCGACATGCACTAAACTAGAACTGTCCTGAGGAAGTCCGACATGAACGTCACTGGAGTTCTTACTAAAACTAGAACTCACTGAGGAAGTCCGACATGCACTAGAACTAGAACTGTCACTGAGGAAGTCCGACATGAACTAAAACTAGAACCGTCACTGAGGAAGTCCGACATGCACTAAACTAGAACCGTCACTGAGGAAGTCCGGCATGAACCGCACTGAGGAAGTTCTACATACTAAACGAACTCACTGAGGAAGTCCGACATGCACTAGAACCGCACTAGGAAATCTACAGACTAAAACTAGAACTGTCACTGAGAAAGTCCGACATGAACTAAAACTAGAACCGTCACTGAGAAAGTCGACATGAACTAAAACTAGAACCGTCACTGAGGAAGTCCGACATGAACTAAAACTAGAACCGTCACTGAGGAAGTCCGACATGCACTAAAACTAGAACCGTCACTGAGGAAGTCCGACATGAACCGTCACTGAGGAAGTCTGGCATGAACCGTCACTGAGAAAGTCTGGCATGCACTAGAACTAGAACAGTCTTGAAAAAGAAAGTGAATTCAATTACTGGAAACTGGAAGTTAACTTGTTTATTTTCTTGTCTCACCCCTCCCCTCTCCCTCCCCCCATTACTCTCTCGCTCCGTCCCTCCCTATACTTCTCCTCATCTCTCCTTCTCGCCCTCTCTCTGTATGTCTGTCTGTCTCGATCTCTCTCAAATCTCTCTATCCACCTCCCCCCCCCTCTCTCCCAGGTGAAGGAATATGACACTGTCTCCAGGTTGGACCAGTGGCTGACCACTATGCTCCTCCGCATCAAGAAGACCATACAGGAGGATGAGAGTGACCTGCGTTAATGTTCCTGATGTCCCCAGACCCCCAAACCCCTCCCCAGACCCCCAAACCCACCCCAGACCCCCAAACCCCTCCCCAGACCCCCAAACCCCTCCCCAGACCCCCTATACCCAAACCCCATCCACACCTAGGGCTGTTAAGGTGACCGTATTACCGCTCACCAGCAGTGACCAGTCATGATTGCGGTCAAATTCCACGAGTCAAGATAACTAGGCTTCTCCAAAACTGCGCTCTAATACCGCTGATGGTCATTGGTACTCGGCGCTCTATTGTCCCTCTAATCACTCTGACATAAATGCAAATGCAATCGAAAATCAAATCAAACACTTTGAGAGCCCTGGGATTCAGAGTTTGAGCGAAATAGGATCACCTGTTGTGCAGTGAGAGCCAATAGGATCACCTGTTATGCAGTGAGAGCCAATAGGATCACCTGTTGTGCAGTGAGAGCCAATAGGATCACCTGTTATGCAGTGAGAGCCAATAGGATCACCTGTTGCGCAGTGAGAGCCAATAGGATCACCTGTTGCGCAGTGAGAGCCAATAGGATCACCTGTTGTGCAGTGAGAGCCAATAGGATCACCTGTTATGCAGTGAGAGCCAATAGGATCACCTGTTATGCAGTGAGAGCCAATAGGATCACCTGTTGTGCAGTGAGAGCCAATAGGATCACCTGTTATGCAGTGAGAGCCAATAGGATCACCTGTTGCGCAGTGAGAGCCAGCTCCTCATAGGTGGTTGATGCATAAAATTAAATGTGTTCCTGTTGGGCAATATTTCTACAGGATGTGCAATTGCGGGAGAAAACAGTTTTGATTGCCTATAGGCTATTAAAAAGAGGAGGATCTCATCAGCTTTCTATAGGCTAAGCCTACTATAATTATTTCTAAACGTTCCTAATATTAAGCACATTGCTTCGTGGTTACAACCAGAGTAGCCTACCTGGCTGGCGTGAAATTGAACCACGGGAAAAGCGTCCTCCGTTCGCTATTCAACGGCATAGATGACATGTATTACATGTTGTTGTTTCCTGTTCCGACTACTGTAGCCTACCTGGCATATTAAAAAACGTTACGGCACGTAAACTCCATTCGCTATTTGATTGCAGTATTTTTTTTGTGGGCCATTCAAAGTCAAATAATTCCACACATATATTAGTAGGCTATATGTAAAGATCAAAAATCGTTTGGGGAAAATATCCTTTCTATTTTATTCAGCTATGTTCAATTGTATTCTTCTTACTATAAAATAATGCCACGGGAATTATATGGAATTAACTAGTGTTGCCAACAGCCATAGCAGGGCCTAACATAAAGACGACTCAGAATATGCTGGCTTCTGCTCTCCTCCTCTTGTGCCTTTTTAACAGCAGATAGCTCATCTTACCTTTGCAGTGTATCTCATCTTGATCAGTCATTACATTATAGTCATTTAGCAGATGCTCTTATCCAGAGCGACTTACAGTTAGTGAGTGCATTTATTATTATCCATACTGGCCCCCCGTGGGAATCGAACCCACAACCCTGGCGTTGCAAACGCCATGCACTACCAACTGAACTACATCCCTGCCGGCCATTCCCTCCCCTACCCTGGACGACGCCAATTATGCGCCGCCCCATGGGTCTCCCGGTCGCGGCCGGCTACGACAGAGCCTGGATTCGAACCAGGATCTCTAGTGACACAGCTAGCACTGCGATGCAGCGCCTTAGACCACTGCGCCACTCGAGAGGTCATCAACGCTAGTCTAGTGCTTCCTGTTCTACAGACCCACCGTGTTTGCAGAGCTAGCCTCTCCTGTTCTGCTGAACATAGTGCACCTGTGGTCATCTGTCCACTGCAGACACTAACTTGTAGACTGCGCCACCGTGAGAGTGGGAGAGGTACTGCAGAGTGCCTTCAGAATGAAACCAGCCAGTCGTGCTGTGCACTGCACACTACGAAGAGCAGAGCCAATCGGAAGGTGAATATCCCTGATCAACTCTGTACTCTTCCAGCTTTGGGACACTTCAAGAATGGTGGACTGCTGGATCCGATTAGAAATACATGTATTCACACAGTGGCCTTGGAAGACCTTATGGTAATATTGATAATATTTAATTTATAAGTATTTTAAGACAAAGTTACAAAGAAGCACCATACCAATGATATAAATGAATAAATTGCCCATACAGACATGACCTAGTTATGGTTTTAAATGACTTATGCATTTTGCAGTGTTCCATTCATTCTATTCCAATTCTCTTGATTTCTTGAAGTGGTTTATTTTCCTTCGATGCTTTGTGTCTATTTAACCCCCTCTACCTTGTGTTCCCGACTCTTAGTAGCTTTACTATACTTCAAAAGCTATTTTTATTGGAAAGCTATTGATTTCAACTTATTTTGACATGTAAAGATGGACAAGCTTTTGATTTAAGGATGTCGTTTTAGTCAGTACAGTGTATAAGCATTAGTCTCTTTCTCTTTGTAGGGTCCCAACAGACAAGGACAGGTTGATAGATAAAGAGAGAAGGTTGTGACTGTTTTCATTAGAATTTTTGTGTAAAATAAAACAAATTATCACGTTGTTTGTCTGACGACTCTGCTTTATCTTTCGAAGCGGTCCGCGCTATATCGCATCCTTGCGACGTCTCTACCCAACTTTGAAGTTTTTAAATGTAAAATGGGTTCGGTAAGCAGTAGGGTTTAGGGTTGGGGGGTAAGCAGTAGGGTTTAGGGTTGGGGGGTAAGCAGTTGGGTTTAGGGTAGGGGGGGTAAGCATTAGGGTTTAGGGTAGGGGGGTAAGCAGTAGGGTTTAGGGTTGGGGGGTAAGCAGTTGGGTTTAGGGTAGGGGGGTAAGCATTAGGGTTTAGGGTAGGGGGGTAAGCAGTAGGGTTTAGGGTAGGGGGGTAAGCAGTAGGGTTTAGGGTAGGGACGTCCCAAGAATACTAGATGTCATTGACCCTTTAGAAACGAACGTCCTTGGCGTAGCGTTTGGCCGGAGCAAGCAGTATGGGCAGCCAGGCAACATATGTAGCTTATGAAACGCATTCAAAGACGGTGGATAGCTAAGACGAGTTCTCTAGCTATCGCTATGGAACTATTTTTGTATGTGTGCCATTATAGCGTCTGTGACAGCATACGCAGCGCCATTGAGGCAATCTACATTTTGAAGTAGTCCATTTTCTTCTTCACGATTGTCTGATCACCAGGAGGGATCAGCCAATGAAGTTGGAAGCCCTCAATGGTACTGCCCGTGCTAATTTGGCCACTATCATTCTATACGGATAGTTCATCCAGGCCGTTTGCAATTAGGGGGGGGGGAAATGTCTACTTGAGCCAACGATGGTGGGGCTCAAGGAGACAGGAGTTTCCTTTTGACAAGACATGTAACATCCTCATGTTGCCAAGGGAACCTCTGTGAGGCTGGGGTAATCAGCAGACCAGGTAGCGGCCCCAAACACGTTTTATGAGTGGAGTGTCTTGGCTTCCTCTTCCGCCATTTATCTGTGCAAATGTAGTAGAGCCCCACTGTGGAGGTGTCATAATACCTATAAAACCAAGCAGTCAAACGGAAATGGTTCCAATCATTTTTCCGCCATTCCTTTTTCCCCCAATAGGGGATTTTATAAACATTTTAAAAAAGGGCTGTGTTTTGTGTAGGCTTACCCAGGCATAACGTTTTGATTACCATGTAAATCACTCTTGGACAAGATTACTTTTATCAATATATTCGGTTCTATTTACTCTCAGATTCGAAAATGCTAATTAGCATCAAAGTAGACATCATGCAAAACTACAAATCCCTGCAAGCTCCTGCACGTCATCTCTAGCTGACACCTTTGCTAACAGGAATTGTGTCAATTTAAAACTTGTACAAGACAGTTCACAGAATTGTCAATTTAAAGAAATGTAGCCAATTTATTAATTACATCAACCAACCTCGATTCGGCAGTTTCGTCCAGATCTGTTGTTCTTTATAAGTCACCTTGTCCTAGAGAAATGTACACGGTTATCAAAACATATTGCTAGGGTAAGCTTACACGAAACACAGCCCTCATTTTTAAATTTTTCTAAAAACCCCTATGGGGAAAAATTAATGGAGGAAAAATTATTGGAAGCATTTCCCTGTTTGACCGCTAGGTTTTATGGGTATTATGACTCGTACTGTGGTATTCTTTATCTGTAGGTTACCTGCATATCAGAGGAAGCTGGTGGGAGGAGCTATAGGAGGACGGGCTCATTGTAATGTCTGGAATGGAATAAATGGAACGTATCAAACATGGAAACCACGTTTGACTCCGTTCCATTTTAGCCATTACAATGAGCCCGTTCTCCTATAGCTCCTCCCAGCCTCCATTGCTGCATATTCATTAAGAGAATCTCAATTGCATACTCCTCGGGGTCCTCTCTCCTCAAAACCCATTGGATGAGAAAGACAGAAGTCTGCTCCTCTGACCTGCTCCTCCAATGGGTTTTGAGAGAGAGAGGACCCGAGAAGTATGCAATTGAGATTCTTCCAGTGTGATAGGCAGGTGTTTGGACATGAGTTAATTAATGTAGCCACTCCCCAGTAGGATCCCACACATGCAGGGGGCAGGTCCATAGAAATAGATAGAGGAGGACTCATCTTTATATCTGTGCCAGTATAGCGTCTGGAACAGCATGGGCAGCGCCATTGAGGCTAAAACCCATAGGAATCCCCATCCACTTGACTACTTTAAAATGGCTACAACATGGCGAAAGCCCTCAAATGGCAGTGCGTTGCCAAAATGGCCGTTTGGCCACTAGATGCCTCTATTATTCTCTATGGGCAGGTCGCGTATCTTGTGTGATCATGCCCGAATATCTTCTGTAGCCACACCTTGAGATAACTGTAGGAAGTCTTTTTTTGCTTGTCAGCCCCTGCGGTTTATCAAATGCAGCATACAAAACCTATTTGACACTGTTTGAACATACTTGTCTGAATCATCAGCCGACACTGAAAAGAAAGGAGTTGGAGGAAAAGTTTGTTCCATACCGTAAGTAACATTGTTTCACCGCCTTTCTGTCAATTGTTTTATAGAATTATGATAAAATATTGCATTTTAACAATGCAATCAACTATTAGGACTAACACATT